CCTCCTCACCCCGACCCCCCTCCACCCCAGATTAAATGTATACCTCCCACTGTTCATCTCTCACCCAACAAATCTCCTGTTTCGTGGACCCGCCACTTCCAGGCATCTCACACGAGGCAACTCTCTCCTTTCCCCTCGCTCGCTATCTCGGACATTAGGACGGGGATTAATTTGATTAAAGAATTATCTGTTCCCTTAGCACAGCGGAGAGAAAACTGGCCCAGATTAGAGATAAGTCGGCCCTCTTTGACATAGCTCGCGTTTCTTCACCTCTCTTACAGGGTGGGAAGGGAGAGTGGTCTGGGGTAGACCATAATAATATGATCTTAAGCAGTGGCGGTGGGTGGACCCAAATTTGGGTTGGGCTTAGGTTGTTTCCACTTCTTTACCACCAAATAGCAAGCTATGAGAACAAAACATATACTTTTTCTGTACTCACGGGGAGCCATGGAATTTTGAGAAGCATTCAAACGAGGCGAGTCACCTTTGTCTTCTATCTCTTAGTTAAATTCTTCTGGATGGTGGGGACGAAGCCGTTTCACCTCCAAATGTTTCCAATTAATTTTCATCTAATAAAAGTAACCTCAAAAGTGTTTTGATGTAATTAATAACTGTTAAATCTCAGCGACACACGCACACAAACATGCACACAGAGCACTATAAACATATACCGTCCATTAGCTGGATTAAGCCGTGTAGCCGCAGAAAGTTCAGCGCACAACAAAGGTCCAGTCGTAGTCTTTCACCCCATTGTCAGGGCTAGAAGAGCGTGAGCCCTCTTTGCAGTGTTATTTTTTTCAAGTCTTCTACCTCTTTACAAGAGGGGTTTAATTATGGAGGCTTGTCCTTTGCTGAGCCCTAAAGACATTTGATTGGCTGTTAGGTTACAATAATTGTAAGCCGTGACAACAGTGATTGGATAAACGAGCAAGCCGCCAAGTTGATCACTCTGTGTTCATTGCGTGCGATCATAACGGTTCCAACTGCTTATTTCGTTATTTTCATTTACTTAGGGATAGAGTTGGGGATGGGGGGCTTAAGCCCGTGAGCCCTTCACTACCCACCGCCACTGATCTCAAGTAATAAAAGGAGGTAGCTGTTTAACGGGAGCAGAGCTCACAAATTATAATTACTTGGCGAGTACCTTTGGGTTCTTGAGTTTGTATACAGGAGGCCAGCAACAGAATTGTTTGTATAAATGCTCAATTAATTAATTAATTAAAAATAATAAATAAATAAATGACCAAAGAAACAAATCATTTTTTTACATTAATTTTCTCCAATTTACCAATTCTTCATTTTGTTCGTTTTGTCCTTTTTTTTCACTTTAAAAAATTGTATTGTTTATTTTGCTTCATTATTTTCCATTTTAGAGGGTGTTTTGTCTAAACTGGGACTTCCTTTCTTTGTCCCCAGACCTGGCCCTTCACGTTCAACGGCCGGACGTTTGGCAGTTCCCACAACTCTCCCTCCGCGCTCACCAGCAGCCACGACAACATCAACGCAAACGGTGACAGCAACTGCAGTAGTAGCAGCAGCAGCAGCAGCAACAACAAAGGAAGCAGCTGCCTTGTTGACAGATCGTCCTCCGAAGACAGAAGACATACAAATATGGCTGCTCATCTGTTTCCATCAAATTGACGCTTGCAAGGGCAAAGACTCTTCGGTATTCACAAGGTTCCCGGTAGCCTACGTCGTAATTCGTCTTTTTCGGACGAATATAAAAGGATTGGCCCATATTGCCAATGTGATATCGCTACTGACTGACGGCAGTTCAATACATGCAGTTTGGATTCCTCAACAAGCAGCCGGCCATTGAGTCATTGTGGGGTTGTTACGGCTCTCCTTGGTACTTTTTCCAAGTCAAACGAGAAAGTAAAGTCGACTCCTGTGTGTTGAGACAGCAGTTCATCCAATTAATACCCTTCTGGTATGTAATTACGATAGAGCTCCTGAACTCTAATGCAAGTGCAACCGCTCCGTCATTGCTGATTACAATCTATGGGGATGAAACCGAGCTGGCTAGTAAATCCCCCCCCCCCCCCTTTACACACACACCCAAACTGTATTGAATTCATAATAACTTCATATCATACCAAAGGAAGTCGTTTCCAAAAATCATCAAGACATTTTTTTGGGAGAATTTTGGATCACGAAAAAGGAAATGCTCAGGATAGAACGGTCTCATACGCCCTGGAAGCAGTGTATTTCATTTGATTGTTCCATTCTTTTTAAAATCAAAATTGGTTTATGTCTTTATCTTCAAAAGCCTTTCAATCTGTGCGATGTGCTTTCATTATATTCTTTAAAGATCCACCAGTGTCTCAGTGAATGAAACTGTTGTATCATTCTTGCAGTTTTGATTTCTAAGTGACAAACAAGTTTATGAATGACAATGCCTTGATTAAAAAAAAATATATTGACAACGACCCTTACGCAGTGCCTATCTCGTAACAATGCATTATTGTGTTTGATTATTATTGACTGGTACGCTCTTCGACGACTCATGCGATGTGTGAAAAGACATAGACTTTCGCCATTGCTTGCAGAAGACCTGACTTTGATTTTCGCTGATGGAAGTAATTTTATCGAGTATTTCTGCCTGCCTGTCTGCTGCGATGATGTGCGCCTTCCACCCACCCCCTGTTGGCCCCACATAACAGGTTCAGAGGAACAAACGACCCGAACTTATTTTTATCTGTGTCAATGGGGATATAAAACATTTTGCAACCATTCATAATCATTTTTACTTTGTGAAATATGGATGTCTAATTATTCGCAACTTTCATGTTCTTAATCCATTTTGAAACGGAATATTTATTTACAAATATTGTGTTTATAAACTACGGCTTTTTAAAAACAACGAAGGTCTAAAGAATGTTTTACACTTTATAATATAAATGACCACATATATTACTTCATCTCAATAAAAAGCGAAATCATACTATTGTGTAACAAATGTTGGCGACCAGTTTGAAAGGACACATACTCTTATAAGATTTTGGCTCTGGTATTGGAGCTTAGAGAGTAATTCAAATGAATGAAGATTTGAAAGTGACATTTTTATACACATGTGTTTATAGTGCTCTTCAATACAGGGCCACTTTCGGTGTTCTTTGTCATAATTTCTTTCATAGTTGCGTTTTACAAATAGGACTGTCATTTAAAGGGGTGCTTATTAGTTGGCTATTTAATGCAAATATGTTTTCACTTTAGTTCTGGTTCGCTATGCATGTGCAAAGATATTGTGTGCTGCACACTGAACAATACCTTCCTCATAAATAATAAAAGTATTTTATTTCACTGCCAAAAGAATTAATGACATCATTAAACTTTTATCCTATTTACAACGATTTTTATGATATCTGTTGTTCAACTTATGAAATTTTAAGTCCGGACAATACATTGTGACAAAGCAATTTCAAGAATTCACGTCTACATGACGTCGGAAGAATATAAGTCTAAATTCTCTTGATTATAATTATTATAAAAATGTGTGCATAATATCACCAATCTGTTTGAGAGCTGAAATTTTCGAAGATACGAATACAAGCATAATTGTTTTGAGTCAGTCTGAGCCACGTTGTGTGTGTGTATGTGTGCATGTGTGTGTGTGTGTGTGTGTGTGTGTGTGTGTGTGTGTGTGTGTGTGTGTGTGTATGTGTGTGCGTGTGTGTGTGTGTGTGTGTGTGTGTTTGTGTGTGTGTGTATTTGTGTGCGTGTTTATGTGTCTGTATGTGTGTACTTATGCTTTTGGGTGTAGATATATGGGGAGAAAGGTAAGGGTATGAAAGATTATTGCGAGTGTTAGAGTGTTCTGATGTGGCTCTTTTCATTAACTAAGTTAGAAAAGGGAGGGGGAGAGGAGGAGAGCGAAAGAGAGGATGGAAAACGAGAGACGGAGAAGAAGGAAGAGATGGAGGGGGAGAAGTAGTTTTAGAGAGAGAATGAAGGAGAGGGAGAGGGAGAGGGAGAGGGAGAGAGAGAGAGAGAGAGAGACAGAGAGAGAGAGAGAGAGAGAGAGAGAGAGAGAGAGAGAGAGAGAGAGAGAGAGAGAGAGAGAGTTTCTAAGGAGAAAAAGGTGTGAAGGAAGAGAGGGTGAAAATGATAGACACACATACGCAAAAACCACACACACACTCACATGCACACATGCATACACATACATACAGATGGATAGAGATAGACAGACAGACAGAGAGAGATAGAGAGCAAGTGAGAGACGGATGAACAGACAGACAGACAGACAGACAGACAGACAGACAGACAGAGAGACAGAAGGAACGAAAAAAGATTGAAAGGTTATATGTACGATTGTGCTTTTGGATAAGTTTCATCAACCTCTCTTTTTGTGAATATATCCCGTCATAAAATAGAAAGACTGTGCCTTTTAATAGACATAATCCAGTGGTGCTTTCCGTGATGTATTAGTTGAATTGTTATTTCCATTCGAAAATTGTATAAATGTTTTATACTTTATAAATTAAAATGTTCAAAGATATCCCTTCATTTTATAAGCTAATAAAAAGCGAAAGTTTGCTCCCGTTTTTCATGAGTCTTTATTTTTTTGTGATAAGTTGTTTTGTTCATATAGAGTGAACAAATTGTTGACCGTCATGATCATTATTAGTGGGTGGTTGGGGGTTCCACTTCTTTACTTTTCCTCTGTTTTTTTCTGTCTGTCCGTCTTACTTTTTCTCAGCACTAAATAATGACCATTATTATGTCGATGCGCTTCTCTTTCCCCAAAGAATAAACCCCCATTCCATTGTGGTCTTTGTTGTTGATTGCTTATTGAACGTGAAAAACAACTACCATACAGTAGCCTCATTTATAACTCCACTTATTAAGTTTTAAAAAACAAATTACATATCAGTTGTCACAAGTGTTCACTAAATGTCATAGTTGGTACATTTTTGGACTACCATAATAATATAATTACTTATTTTGAAAAGCACTTTTCGAAAACTTATCCTTGTTGGGTTTTTTTTTTTCTTTTTTGTTTGTTTCTTAAAAATGTTTTTGTACGTTGCTTTTTGTCCTTCTAATTTAACATCTGAGATCACCTTGCTCAGTCCTATTTTGGTTCTGTCTCTTCGATAACCTTATAGCCTTCTAGCGTAACATATTATATCCCTTCATCTTTCGTGGATCATTAAATGAGATTGATCTTTTATAGCAGAATAGTGTATAATTGTGTGTACTATTTAGGCTCCTCACTTTAAACTCAGAATATATGAGCTAAAGAAAGAGGTGGACAGGATATGTTATTGTGTATCGCTGTCAAAAGGAATTATACAACATGCTCAGCCTGTGTCGTTCTTAGAATGCGGTGTCAGACGACATGCCCTCTTAATTTATCTATTTTATCGTGTTGATAGGGTGTTACATATTTTCAATCAGTCATCAGGATGAGTTTTATAAAATATTTTGGATGACTATATAACAGTAATGAGATGCATTTTATGGTAGAAATTAGATGACTTTCAAAACAGAAACTAAATTTCTTTTATAACAGAAATTATGTGACTTATAGAACAGACATACGATTACTCTTATGGTTGAAATTCGATGCATTTTATTGTCGAAAATAAATTACTTTTGTTATAGAACTTAGGCTGTAAAATTGTGTTAAGAGAGAGGACCCTCCGGTAAATCACACCAATACCTATCGCTACACAGAATGTTGTAATACGCCACATTTAATAATAGCAAGCAGTTGATTCCCAATTATAATTTATTTGGGTTTTTGTTGTTGTTTTGTTCTGTTTTTGTTGTTTGTTTGTTTTATCTTTTTGCGTGTCTTTTCTGGTGGGGGGGGGGGGGGGGGCGGGGTAACCAAAAATACGCCCCATTTCATAATGACAAGTCGTTGATTTATTTGGGTTTCTTTTTTCTTTTAATAGAAAAGTCTATTTGTCCTAAACGCCTAGCCAGTTTTATTTGAGCAAAGTCGTTCATTAGAAAGGAGCAAAGAAGTAGTCAGGAGAGGCAGTATGTCCGCCCACCCACGATGCTGGTTTGTAAGGAAGCTCGAAGGGTACAATAATATGCATATTTTCATACGCCTGTCAAAGTGACATCCGCACAAAATATTATTTTTTTAGAGGGAAAGGGGGGGGGGAGTGGATTGGGGAGAGGTAAGTGTTTACGGCGTTCGTAACAGCATGAAGTCATAACACGAGGGTGCGGGACACTTTGAACATAATTTCAGTTGGTAGGAAATCATTTTTGAATTTTGCCCGAGTGGCGGCCGAAGCCTATATTCGTATCAATTTTGGACCACCAAGGGATTTTCATCGTACACAACTTACACACGTGACCACCGAGATTTTTCGCCCTTTTCCCTTAAGGCTAGGTGTTGAATCTTACCTACCATAAGATAGGGGGTGTGGCTGAAAAACAGAACGGTACGAAGGAGCCAACTAGCATCAATAGAAAGGCTGCAGAAAGAGGAGGGGGTAATGTAGGTGAGGGGGTGGGGGCAAAAAGTGGAGACGAACGCATACGGCAGAACATTGTTAGAGAGCATGAAAGAAGGGGAAAGGAGAACATTTGAAAGAAGAAATCTTTCCTTCGTTGTCAGGATTCGAACCCAGGACCTATTGAATGAGAGGCGAACACCGTAACCCCTCGATCACGGGAGCCCAAAATGTTCAACTGATTAATAATAATGGGTATCATTTTTATAGCGCAAATCCCCTCTCAATAGCAAGCTCTCAGCGCTTCACATTCTATACTATTACCCTAGCAGCCCTGGGAACATTCTGAAACAACCTCAACTTCCTGGGAAGCATACAGTGCAAGCAGCCTTTTATAGGCGCTAAAACTCTAACATACTGACAAGGTTTTTCGCTGTCTATGGCCGGGTACCCATTCCTACCTGGGTGAAGTGAGGAAAATTCATGTAAAGTGCCTTTCCCAAGGACACAACGTCAGGCCCGCGGCTCGAACCTCCGACCCTGCAACCTCACGATTACGAGTCCGGTAGCCTAACCACTAGTTCACGTTATTATAAAATGTAGTGCAGCTTACCTTGGTTTAAATTACAAATTTGATAGACATTTGTTACGGCGTTCCATTTATTTCAAATGTCACTATCCTTAAGTACATGTTAATTAAAAAATAACCAACGAAAAAAACAACAACTTTACAACTTGTTTTGTAAACATCTTCCTCCATACTGAAGGTTTGCGTTTCAAATTTGAACACAAATTTGGAAGCCAAAAGGACTTTGTCTGATATTCAAATATACAATTATATTTGTAAAAGTTCGTCACTTTGGCCGCCTAAAACTTCGAAACCACTTTGGAATTTGACCAAATTAATGATGGTTCAGAATCATTAATTTAAAGGGTGCACAGTTCTACTGAGGAGCCTGAAGTCACAGTAGTTTAATTTTTAGTTTTTTTAAAATTAGTTTCGTTTAGATCTAATCTTGGGAAAGTCTGTCTTCTAAGACGCCATTGTAAACAAGTGAGGTTTCCGTTCAATAGCCCTCTGCACTGTTTCCATACCTTTGAAAGTCTGGAGTATACAACCACGAAAGCGGAATAGAGAATCAATTTATACTTTACAATATCTAAACCTTCTAATTTGTGTATCTCTCAAGATTTATTGCTCCATTCCAGGAGTGTAGCTATAGTAGGCCAATGACTTTCAGTTGATGTTAATGCAATGATCATTCCCAGCTAGTTTTGAATAAGTCCACTGGAGGGTTTTGCTCAGTATGGTGCATTAAAAGAAAAACCAATTTGCAACCTTGTCGCCATTTTCATAGCATGACGCACCAGTTTGCATGAGACCTACTACTAAAAGTTGCAGTAATCGCGCCATACTGCAATCTTCAGCAATCTAACAAGTCTACAGAAGTCAGCAGAATACAATTTTTCCAAAATTTTGTTTGCCTGATGAGATCATATTATGTTAAGTAAAGAGCAGATAACTTTTTGTATTGAACATTACCTCTCCACGAACTCACCATTCCTGGCTTTCCGTAACTTTTGCACACGTCATGCAAAGAATGCTCAGGTGCCCCCAAAACCTTTGGTGTCACGAGTAGAGAAGTTCTGTCAGTTTGGATCTATAGCGAATCAGAACGTAACATTTCCTAAAAATGACCACTTTGAGTTGAACACGCACCTTGCACAGTTCTTTAAATATCACCAGGGTGCAGATTTCAATTGTCGAGTCCCATGAGACGTCTATCCGTAGACGATCTGTATTCTAGGACTTTCCTACACCTCCACAGTCTGCATTCTCATGATAGATCTTAACCTACGACTGCACTATTTTCATCTTCTCCAGGCTGAGACGACATGGATAGAGCATGGCAATGTGTCCATGATTCCTTGATTGTCGTGAAAAGCTTCGATGATATTTGGTTCAGTGCAAAGACAAAATTTTCACCCTACGGGATATGTTAACTCCAAAAAAATGCTGTCTGTT